AAGTGATAAATAAACAGATAAAAAGTGATAAAATTTGATAAAAACTGATTAAATGTGAGAAAAATGACAAAAAATTGATAAAATGATAAAATTTTGATAAAATGATAAAAATATGCTAAAAAGTGATAAAAAAAGTGATAAAATTTGCATGTGTACAGTGATCAAACTGGGTGAGGGACCCCTCGGTACTGAGTCATTTCGCTTTCTTGCTGGCAGCTGAACGCGGCCGACGGGCTCCTGGGGTCACGGGGCCACAGCCTTGACTACATCGAGTCGGAGACGTACGGCGAGCAGGTGACGAGCATCCGGCAGACGGCCGCGCTGTGGACGCGCAACGTGAGCGCCTTCATCGGGCCGCAGGAGACGTGCGTGCACGAGGCCAAGCTGGCCGGCGCCTTCAACCTGCCCATGATCTCCTACGTGAGTATATGTTGATTGACACGACGACGACGACAGCGATCCAGCCTCCAGGACCGAAGGGCTCCCCAGGCGTGCGGTTTGTGGCGACGCGAGCCCCAGAGTCTGCTCGCCGCAGGCGTTCAGGGAGAGGGGGAGAGGATGGCAGAAGGAGGGGGACCCACACGAACCGCCTGCGAACCGCCGGCGGCCCGCCCGCCACGCTCGCCTGCGCACCGGGTGGCCTACCCAGCACTCCGCAGGGGTCGTGCCCCCGCAGCAGCACCACAGCAGCGCCGGGGAGGGAGAGCGCGCCCCTCCGTCTCGCTCTACTTCTCTGCGCCAACAACTCCCCCCCCCCCTCTCCTCTCTCCCTCGCTCTCTATACCCCCCCCCCTTTCCTTATTCCTGCCTCGCAACCAATTATGCAATGTTGCTGGCCGTCAGCGAGGCTGTTGGTAGCCGTCGTGGATTCCCTTAACGCCCTTAACGCCCCATAACGTGGCCGGCATTGGGAAGCACACAGCGGCCCGGGAAAGAGGAGGGGGGGGGGGCTTGGGGAGAAAGGAGACGGCGCGAAGAGGGGAGAGGGTGGGGGAGGCTGCGCGCCGCCATCGGATCGTAGAACTAAAATTTTACTTTGTGGGCGTCGCGACAAACTGCCCTACTTGGGGCGTCCCCGGGCCCGGGCGAAGACAATCCAAGCTGACGAGGCTCCAGGCTGCCCCCCGGCGAGGCTCACCTCCGCCGTGTCGCTGCGGTGCGAGCGTCGCGGTGGGAGTCAGTGTCCTCGGTGCGCCGTGCAGCCGGCTGCGCTCTGGACCGCTTGCACAGCATCCACGGGGGGCGCGCATCTCTCGCGGCTCAGCGCTCCCTCCCTCTGCCTCTCCGCGCTGCTCTCCCCTCCCCGTCCTCCCGCTCTCCCGGCCTCCCGAGATAAAGTGGCAGAGGAGAAAGTGCAATCTTTCACCCCGCCTAACAGCTACATCGTCTGGTCCGAGCCGAGCGGGGGCGGCGCTCAGCCGAGCCCAGCCGAG